CCAACATCTGTGTCATATTTTAGTCTGATTCTGATCATTACTTTATCTCTTTGTACAGTGTGAAGAGACATCATGTGTCCATGATGAACAAAATATTGCTGAATTTTTAATTTGCCTCAGGTTCCAATGTAGCTCAGAATGACACTGATCTTATCTTTATTTAAAATTTTGGTATTTTCATCAGCATGAAAATTTTGTATTAATTCTGATTTTTTTAATATTGCTAAAATATTATATACCTTGATTGCAGCGTCCCTCCAAACTTTGTGACTGAGGGAAGTGCCTCATTGCCTACCCTAGTCCAGGACTTCTGCTTTCCAAATCTTGAAGCTAAAAACATTGGTATTTTGATAAATCATGTTGAAATAAGGAACCCTAATATCAATGCAGAGGGATTTTAGGATGAAAAGCCTTCTGAAAATGTCTATTTTAGACAGTAAAGCACACACTTCACTTGAGCTCTTAGATTGGGGAAATGTGTCTCACTGACTTCTCACTGAAGGGTTTATGTAACTGTACTCATGATAAACCTCACAGAGTGTATTCCACTGTGTAGAAGTAAAGTGTCTCCCAGAAGCTACAAGTGAAGCCTCAGCTAGGTGCAGCATCGTGTTTTCAAAAGTTAATAGCTCTCATCTTAATGCAGCCAGAGGGAATCTGGGGCTTATTCTCCATAAGACAAAGTACCCAGGGCTGACCAGGTCCTACTGTTGAGGGGACCAGCACATAAAAGAGCCACCACCTTGTAACCACATGACAGCATCTGGGGCTTGAAAAGGTAACACTGTAGGAGAAAGTGCTCATCATAACACCTTCCTGGCCCCCTCCAGTGAGGGAAGCCAGGAGAAAGAAATGGAACCAAAGGTAGCACTTTGGTGTCTCCTTTTTCTGACCTTCATGAGGTCACCAGGCCTTCCCTGCATTGTGGGAATCACACAGAGGTGTGGGAAGGCCCTTGAGACTGTCTCCCAACCCCAGGAGGTCACGTTTTGAGGAGGAATGTATGCAGCCACTTATTTGGCTGTTTTGCTTTAGCTGTGACTCTCATTATGATCTTAGCCCCTACACACATCATAATTCTTTGCATGAGAAAAGGCTCAAAGAAAAAAATAATTATAATAATAAACCTTGTCAGTGCTGGTGAGATCACTGAAAACTGAGCCACTTCCTTAGAGACCCAGGGAGTGAATCCCAGGACAAAAAGACCAAAAGTCTGCTTACAACTGGATTATGGATTCTGTAAACATTGTGGCTCTAGGTACTGTTCTAGCGGTTCCAAGATAAAATGACGCTCCACACCCTTTCACCTCTCACAGTCAAATGGCAAGTCCCTTTGGGTCCAAAACACAAGGCTGCATGGCTAGAGGTTTTAGGAAGTATAATTAAGATTTCCTTTACACTTAAGTGACATTCTGTATCATTAGAAGCTTTAAGTTACAGGAACAAGCTTTCCAAAACCTGATGAGCCATTCCTGTGCTTCAGAACTGGTGACTGTCCCCAGGTGAGTGATGATACCTGTGGTGGACAAAAAGGCACAAAGCTTAGACTTTTCTTAGTAATTAAGTAAGCTCTTATAAAGCATTTTCTACAAACTGATAACTAGAATTAGGATATGTTTTTAGAAATAGGTATTGTCGGGGCGCCTGGGTGGCTCAGTCAGTTAAGCGTCTGCCTTCGGCTCAGGTCATGAGCCCAGGATCCTGGGATCGAGCCCCGCATCGGGCTCCCTGCTCCGCGGGAGGCCTGCTTCTCTCTCTCCCTCTCCCCCTGCTTGTGTTCCCTCTCTCGCTGTGTCTGTCAGATAAATAAACAAAATCTTTAAAAATAAAAAAAAGGAATAGGTAGTTTTCGCTAAGAGCGTGCTAGGGCAAACTTCACTGTAGCCCGTAGGGAAATGTTAAGAACTCTTTTTACGAGGCCTCACTGTTAGCGTAGGTTACTTACCTCAGTGCCTCCCAAACTTTTTCTCACAGGATGGTCTGCACAGAAAATACTTGTCCAGCACATGGGAGTAAATCCTAGAGGAGTTTTGAACCCTCAGCTACGCTACTTATGGCTTGAAAAATTGAAAAGATATTTGTGTCAGTGGGAAAGAGCTATATCCATGAAAATATAGAGTTTCCACCTCAGTGAAATGCATAGGGACCTGGTTAGTGGTCAGGTACCTACCAAACAAGTTGCTGAACCTTAAGTCCTATTCCATTAAAGAGAGGACATAATGCTTGGTGGGCTTATTTGGATTCTACAAGTAGACTGTTTTTCACTGGGTTGGCAGCTTTGCCCATTCAGCAATTACCTGATTAAGATCTTTAGATCATCTAAGTATTGAAAATATTTTGCTACCCTAAGTGATCCAAAATAAAATTCTAGTTTATGAAAGAATTAGTATGTTTGCTAAAATTAAAAATGTCTTTCTAGATTTTTAGATTTCAAAAATCTAAAGTTCACTGAAGGTAAATCAATCAGTATCCCTCTCTTCCTCTGTTTGTCTGTCTCTCTTTTCCCCTGAGCACATACTTACTCAGTCTAATGTATAATCTAGCCTTTATTTGCCATGTGATTGTTTTAGATTTTTAAAAAATTTGTTTATATTTTGGACATGGGGCACTAAGTGACCCTATGATCCAAACCACCCCCAACATGAATGCTATCTGTTCTCCCTTTCTGTAGCGATGAGCAGGCTAAGAAGCATTCCATTATTGGCTAAAAGTGATGTTTATGAGACCAGGGCCTGCCACATACATCAGGCCTCATGGAAAGTTCCCTGTGACCAGCTACCTGAAGGGGAAAAATTAAAATTCAGGCCTAAATTCAGATGGTTTTGCATTAAATGTTGGCAGCTGCAAATATTGGAAAGGTCAGCTACAGTATAATGGTCCTACTCAAGGTACATTGAAAGATGGAAAGGCAGGAAAATCTTCCCAGTAGGCAGAACTTCTTGACCAGTACATATTGTCCATTTGTTGGAAAGTGGATGTCACCTGAGCCCAGGAACATAGCCTGTGCTGATTCCATCAGGAATTTGCACAAGGATTGAAAAAAATTGGAGCTCCTACTTGATATGTATAAAGTATATGAAGGTCATGGTAGCCACATAGCCACTGTCTTATCTACATACCTGAGGGACTTCCAGACAGGAATTATAGGTTTTACCCATTACAGGTGACAGGTAGCAGGAAAAATATATCCTTGGAGAATTGGGGTGAAGTCACTGAATTTTTCTCCAAAGGCCTCAAATAAATTCAGTTCAACTCAGCAAGCATTTATTAAGCAAGCACTTACCTGGTTCAGACACTGTGCTCACTACTGGAGATACGGCAGGACACAGGGCATGGTGCCTGTCCCAAGACTCAGTGGGATAGCTCCCTCACACAGTCCAGGAACTGAAATGCAAATATTTTTTTTCAAGGAGCCAAGGCCAGATCTCTATTGCACATTTATGTACTGCTAAAGTTAAGAGATTGGCTTGTTCATAAGTATAGAGAGCCAGATGGTTGTGAAACATAGTGGGGGTTTTAGAAATGATGGATGAATTAATGACTAAAACTATATTCCTAAACCCTCTTTCCACAAATGTTGGCAGCTAAAGCCGTAAAAAAATCCCAGTGGACTCCTGCTGATGATCAGATCCTGTGATAATCCTGAAAGCCCACCCCACTTGAGGCATTCTGAGGACATTCTGACCTCAAAAGCTGAAACATGGAGGGTCATACTAATTAATAATTAAACTGAAACTGCATTCCATTATGCCTGTGGTGGGTGGTGGCTTGGTTTTGAATTTAGTTCTCAAAGTTTTAGCTACAAGCTCCTCTGGCTCTCCCCAGAATGCATGAGGCATTAATCAGTCATAGACTTGGACTGAGTTTACACACAGAATTAAGGTGTGATTTTCTCTGGCTCTCTCCTTTCCAACATTCCCTCTTTTTTCTTTAATGGCTATGGTTGTCCCATGCTTCTTTCTCTGCTTCCCATGGACAATAAATGGGTGGATTTTCCTATTGAAGTTTTAGTGACCTGGGACTGTTGTCACCACATCTGTGACTACCTCAGGGTAAAGTGACCCAAACAAGAAATTCATTCTGTGCCAAACATTTTCCTAATTTCAACTCCCTTCCATAATTATCCTGTGTTTTTAAATTTCCAGAGCCTTCAGATAGTTTTTCCCCCTTGTTTTGTAGCTTTTTGGGGTTATAGCTGTTACTTGAAGGAGCATAGGCTTATTAGGATCTCACTCCTAAACTAAAAGCAGAGCCTCTGAGATACTTATTTTGCAGTTTCACGATGTCAATTTGACTTTTTTTAAATACAGATTCAAATTCTTTGTTGTAATGTTTCACGTTTTCCATTCAGTAGTTCTGACCTTTTTTTCTATTAATCTGATTTATTTTGAAGGCCTTGTCTGCAAAATTCATGTCTGGGTCATTTCTCATTCTGCTTTTATTAACTGTTTTATCTCTTGATTATGAGTCACTTTCCTGCTTCTTAACTTTAGTTTTATTTTGTTGTATACTGGACACTGTATTTTAAACTTTTTAGAGGCTTCAAATTATGTTCTCTTTCACCAGACTTGATTCTCTCTTTCCTTTATGAGGCCTAGTCTGGGGACTGATGACTTAGTCAGAGACTGAACTAAGAAAATGCTTAGCTGCAATTTTTCTAAGTCTCAGTCTACCTCTGGTTCATCCCTGCTTGAGGGTATAGTCCTCCAGGTCTGTCCTGATGTGGTCATTGTGTGTACCCATCTTGGTAAGTCTCAAACTCTAGTCTTTGTTTTCTCATCATTGTGAGACTACCCCAAAGTCCATTCTGCTTTTCACAGGTTTTCTACTTAGCTTTTTAGGCTCACAATCAGTGTAGCTTCAGAATTTGGGAAACATCTTTAGGGAAAAACTGGAGTTATACTGAGGCCACTCAGGTTTCCAGCCCTGTGAGATGACTAAAAAAATTCTTCTGGTTTGTCTCATTCTGTTCTTTGGCCAAAATCAACAAATGCCTACAGAGAAAAACCAGCTACAGAGGATCGGTTCACTTCTCTTCAGTTTCTCTCAAGAATGTTGGCCCGTTATCCTCTCAGGTGTGTTTATACAAATGATTTCTAAAAAAGAAAAATGGTGTGGCTTTTTGTTACAGGGCTTATCTATTATCAGTGGGAGCCTTAGTATGTCACAAGCCAGAAGCCAGTCATAGGGAAACATAATAGACCTATAAATAAAACAAGAGAAATCTGAACAGACCGGTTATGATAGTATGCCATGAACAAAGGAACATGATTCACCCTAACTTCTGTACTTACTCTTGACAGCCAGAATGAGAAAGAAAACACAAAGAGAAAGAGAGAACACTTACACAAACATATTATACAATCTCACGCCTCCTCCATTAGCACATACTGTGCCTCTGCTGGAAAGACCCTAATTCATAAACAAGACAAAAGGACAGGTAAAAACAATAAGACTTCACATTTTGGTCATAAAGGTAAAGGATGAGTCCATCAGGGAAGATTTGTCTTTGAGAAGAGGAGGAACGAGCCCTATCTGGGTCCATTTTGCTTCTCTTGACCACCATTTTAGCAAGGAAAGGGGGAGAGGCACATTCTTCTCAGAGAGAGGGGCTCCCCAGGGTTCCACCACTGATCATGCATCACGGGTGCTGGGCCTCTGCTCTGTCCAGTACACTAGGCACTGAGAACAGGGGTAAAATGAAGTACAAATCTTTGCCCCAGGGGAGCTCCCACTGCCTTGTCACAGCTTTTTCTGCATGTTTGAGGGCCTAGCTAGCAGTTGCTAAGGGACGGGCTTTAGTAATGTGCTCAGTGAGATGCCTTTTGTTGCTCCTTCCTGCCTGTGTCTTCTGCCAACTTTTTATCTCTCCAATTAATGCCAACCAGGCAGAAGGTTGTAAGCAAAAGACATGAGAAAGTTTTGGGCTTCTCATAGCTTGAAACTGACCCCCCCGCCCCCCAGTCCACTATCCTTTGCTAAACAAATTAATGCCATTGTCGGAGCGCTGCCACTGTGTTGAAAATGGGAAAGGAAAATCTTTCGTGGGGATTATTATATCAACCAGATCTAATCAGGCCTGGGTCCTTTTTTGATAAGGTGAATGAGGAGATTACTATCTAATGGTCTAACCAGTAATAGTTAAACTATGAATTTGCGTTTGAATAAAATGTTAACAGTCCTGGCATGCAGAGATTATAGAAATGTAAATTGTATCATAAGAAACAGTCCCAGTTGTGTAGCTTAAAAAATACCAAGTTCTACTTGCAATTATTGCCAGAGACTTAAAATTAAGTTTCCTTCCCTGGAGTAGTTTAACTGTCAGTATGGTTACTTCCATTATCTGCCCATCCAAAATTATTCAGTTGATTTAATCCTCTCAAAATTAGGGGATTTTCACCATGGGAGTTAGCCAGGGGATTTTTCCAGCTCTGCTGATACCAACATTTAAAGTGATTATGTATAATCTATTTCATTTCCACTATTTCATCTCAGAAAATACTATTTTCCCAATTTTTCTCTCTTCAGCAGAAAGGAGATCAGGACTGGATATGCTATCAGAATTCAGCGCTGGGCAATTTATTGGATGAAATAGCTCTAAGAATTGCTGCTGAGGTCTCTCCGGCAGTGGATTCTCTTTCCAAAATCCTGATATGTTCCAGCCAGAGCTGTTCACAGGTCAGAGAAGAGTAGGGTGTTGGGTTGTTGACATAAGAAGGGTTGGATAACCCATGAAACATTTGGAGATATGGTCAGAGGTCTTTGTAATAATATATCCCCAGCGAGTATTTCTGTTCAAAGTGATAGGAGGCAAGGAAAAGGAATGGGCATTGTTGTTTGTTCAGTATCAAGGGGTGGTGGGAATTGACACAACTACATTATAGAAGTTAAAGTCCTAGCTATATTCACAAAGGCATAGAGTACACAATAGCTTTTACATAAATTTAAAAAACTGGGTCATTTATTGTACTTGAGTACTAATACCCTTCACCATGTATCCCCTGCTTTATGTACAGCAAAGGCCAGCAAGCTGATGTTGCCTATAAGGCAATTAGATATAGTCCCAAATAGCTTATTTTTAATAATAAGGTCTAAATCTTTAAGAGATAAATATTTTGGACATTTATCAAAAACAACTTTTGATCCCTTCAGTCTTTGGGAAATGTGAATTTGAGGACAAGAACGTGGTACAACATTTCTGCATCTCCCTCCATCCCCAATAAACATAGATGAAACTGTTTCTGCTTCTGTCCATGAAGGATTAACTGCTATATAGAAGTGCTCATAGGGCTCTTTTGAGTCTTTGGTTGATACCAATCTGAGCATACTCTCTTTGTTCAAGGAAGTAAAGGGAAACAAGAACATAATGAGTACAGAAGTGGAAAACATCCCACAAAGCTGGACAAGACCAACTTCCAGTGTAAAATAATTACAGGAAAACTATAAAATAAATAATTCCCAGAGCTCACACAAGACTGGGGACCATTTGACTAAGGTGTAGCCACAGTAAAGAGACACTTGAATTGAAGAACATTCACAGTAGAGACCTCAGAAGGGCAAGTCTTAGAAGTGGGTAAGAAGGGCTCCTTTTATAAAGAACTTTCAAAAAAAATATTTCAAAGGGGTCAAATTTAATGTGAAAGTAACTCAGCTACCTGCCAGAAAATGTTGAACACTACTTAAAGGAATACAATAAAATTGAACACTCAATAGTTTTAAATTGACAATGTCAGGGTAACCAATAAAAATTACTATACATATAAAGAACCAGGACAATGCAATCCAAAATGGGAGAAAAATCAATAAAGATAAACCCAAAATGATAGAGATAATTAAATTAGCAAGATGTTAAAATAGCTATTACAAATATGTTCTGTTTATTCAGGTAATTAATTAAAGAAAAACCTGGACTTAATGGAAGAAGGAAGTGGAAGAAATAAAAAGGAATTAAATGGAACTTCAGATGATGAAAAATAAAATATCTGAAATGAAAAATTCACCGAATGGGGTTTAGAGCAGATTAGACACTGCAGAAGGAAAGATCAGCAAACTTGGAGATATAGAATATAAATCCAAATACAGAAGAATTTATCCAAAATGAAACAGAGAAAAAAATTTTGAAAAAATATGAGCAGAACATCCATGAGCTATGTGGCAATATCAACCAGTCAAACGTGTAATTGCAATCCCAGAAGGAAAGGAAATGGGAAGAAGCAGAAAAGAATATGTGAAAACAGCCAAAGTTTTTTCAAATTTTGACAAAACATGAAACCCATAGATCCAATAAACTCAGTCAACCTCAAACAGAAGAAACAACAAAAAACACACCTAGGCACATCAAAATCAAATTGCTGAAAACCAGTAACAAAGGGAAGATCTTAAAAAGTACCCAGGCTTCTGGTTTGGTATGTAAGGAATTTGGAACCTGTCAATCCATCCTAACAAGTAAAAAGCTGGACCAATTGAAAAATCAACAACTCTTCTTAGATCTGTCAGAGAAGTGAGGTCTTAGGGCAGAACCACTGTCCCCCACGTTGGAGAGACAGGTTCAGAGAATTACAACATACTGGAACAGAAACCCATGAACAAAATGCTCTGTGGGAAGCATTACCAGGTAGAAAACCTAAACTGTAAATGACAAGTTGCTGGAAGCTCAATGTAGACAAGTGGGAGAGTTAAAAACTCCAGAGGGCACTAGTCAGAGAGGAGCCTCCAAACTTCAATTGAATTTTACCATCAGGAACCCTACCAGGTTCTCGTGATGAATATTGGAGAAAAATCCCCTCATGCTTCTATAGTATGGGCAGGGGGAAGTTACCTTTTTTGGAAATATGCCAGAGCATTCTGTTCTTAACAAGGCTTGCACTTAGGAAAAAACTATTTTATCAGAGCTTAATCTTTTGGAGTTTTCCTAGAGCCTAGCCAACTTGAGGGAGGGAAAATACCCAACTCCAGCCCCCACTAGCCATCATGTCCCACCTAAGAGGGGAAAACAATGAGAAACCCTCATGAAGTTCGTAGTTCAGAGCCACAGTCTTCACTAAAAGACTGAGACCTAATTGTAGAACAGAATGCTTTCCCTTTCCTCATGCCCTACCACCATATAACTAAAGGCCTACTTACCAGAGTTTCTTTTACTCAATACAGCAGGTGAGACTTTGACCACAAAGTTACAAGGCATATACAAGGCAAAACATTGTTTGAAGAGGCAAAGCAAGCATTAGCATCAGACTGAGACCCCAAATACCCAGAGGAATGCTGAAAAAGAAAAAGCTGGTGGCATCACAATGCCAAACTTCAAGCTATATTACAAAGCTGTGATCATCAAGGCAGTATGGTACTGGCACACAAACAGACACATAGATCAATGGAACAGAATAGAGAACCCAGATATGGATCCTCAACTCTACAGTCAATTAATCTTTGACAAAGCAGGAAAGAATGAATATCCAACAGAAAAAGGACAGTCTCTTCAATAAATGGTGCTGGGAAAATTGGACAGCCACATGTAGAAGAATGAAACTGGACCTTTTTCTTAGACCATACCCAAAGACAAACTCAAAATGGATGAAAGACCTCAATGTGAGACAGGAATCTATCAAAATCCTAGAGGAGAACACAGGCAGCAACCTCTTCGACCTCAGCCACAGCAATTTCTTGCAAGACATGTCTCTAAAAGCAAGGGAAACAAAAGCAAAAATGAACTATTGGGACTTCATCAAGATAAAATCCGCACAGCAAAGGAAATGGTCATCAAAACTAAAAGGCAACCTACGGAATGGGAGAAGGTATTTGCAAATGACATACCAGCTAAAGGGCTAGTATCCAAGATCTATAAAGAATTTCTCAAACTCAACACCCAAAATTCAAATAATCCAGTCAAGAAATGGGCAGAAGACATGAACAGACACTTCTCCAAAGAAGACATACAGATGGCCAACAGACACATGAAAAAATGTTCCACATAACTTGGCATCAGGGAGATACAAATCAAAACCACAATGAGATACAACCTCACACCAGTCAGAATGGCTAAAATTAACAAGACAGGAAAAAACAAATGTTGGCGAAGATGCGGAGAAAGGGGAGTCCTCTTAACACTGTTGGTGAGAGTAGAAACTGGTACGGCCACTCTGGAAAATGGTATGGAGGTTCCTCGAGAAGCTAACAGTAGATCTACCCTATGACCCAGTAATTGCACTACTAGGTATTTACCCCAAGATAACAAATGTAGTGATCCAAAGAGGCACCTACATCCCAATGTTCATAGCAGCAATGTCCACAATAGCTAAACTATGAAAAGAGCTGAGATGTCCATCAACAGATGAATGGATAAAGAAGGTGTGGTATACATACACAATGAAATATTACTCAGCCATCAGAAAGGATGAATACCTACCATTTATATCGACGTGGATGGAACTAGAGGGTATTATGCTGAGCGAAATAAGTGAATCAGAGAAGAACAATTACCATATGGTTTTACTCATATGTAGAATATAAGAAACAGCACAGAGGATCATAGGGGAAGGAAGGGAAAACTGAATGGGAAGACATCAAGAGGGAGAAAAACCATGAGAGACTCTTAACTAGGAAACAAACTGAGGATTGCTGGAGGGGAGGTGGGTGGGGGAATGGGATAACTGGGTGATGGGCATTAAAGAGAGCACATGATGTGATGAGCACTGGATGTTATATGCAACTGATAAATTATTGAACACTACATCTGAAACTAATGATGTACTGTATTTTGGCTAATTGAATTTAAATTAAAAGAATCAGACTGAGAGACATGGCAGAGATGTTGGAATTATCAGACTGGAAATGTAAAACAACTCTGATTAATATGCTAAAGGCTCTGATGGAAGAAATAGGCAACATACAAGAACAGATGGGTAGTATAAGCAGTGAGGTAGGAATTCTAAGAAAGAATCAAAAAAATGCTGGAATTCAAAAAACAATATAACAGCAAAGAAGAATGCCTTTCATGGGCTCATTAGTAGACTGGACACAGCTGAACAAAGAATCTCTGAGCTTGAGGAAATGCAAATAGAAACTTTAAAAACTGAAAAACCAAGGTAAAATGAGAACTATAAAAAAATGGAGCAGAGTATCCAAACACTGTGGGATAATTAAAAGGGGGGGGGGGAAGCAATATTTGAAGCGATAATGATTAAGAATGCCCTCCAAATCAATGTCAGACACCAAGCTATAGATCCAAAGCTCAGAGAACACCAAACAGGATAAATGCAAAACAAAAACACATTAAAAATGAAAAACTATGCCTATGCATGTCATGTTCAAACTGCAGAATTTTAAAAAACTAAGAAGGAAACTCGAGAGAAGATGGGGGCAAAAAACCTTACCTAAAGAGGAATAAAGACTTAGAATCACACCCACCTTATCCTTAGAAGCCACACAAGCAGGAGAGTGAAGTATTTAAAGTGTTGAGGGAGAAAACAAAACAAGACAACACACCAATTTAGAATTCTGTGGGCTGTGAAAGTGTCTTTAAAAGAGAAGAAATAAAGACTTAGACAAACAAAAATTGAGGGAATTTGTTGGCAGTGGATCCACTTAGCAAGAAATGTTAAAATAAGTTCTTCAGAGAGAAGGAAAACGATATGGGTCAGAAACTTGAATTTATATAAAGAAAGAACATTGGAGGAGAAATAAAT